CAATCGGAACTCCTCCAATACTGACCGGAGGAAAAATCACGATTTTTGACGAGCTGCGTTCCCTCCACGGAAGCTATTTTCCAGGGACCGATCCCGGAGCCGCTCCCCTCAATAGTAATCATTTAGGAAGGCGACCTATCATCCAGGACTCTCGACGTTCGACTGAGGGAGAGGGAGTCCCCGTGAGCGCATCACGTGCACCGGATTCCTGCGAATCCCCTCGTATAGGGCTCAGGTGGCTTGTGGATGGAGACAAAAAAATATCTGGGAAGGCTGAACTGTCGTCAATAATAAATAATACGTCGTCGTGGACCGATTGCGCTGTTGGATAACCTTGAAAGGCCATCACCCTACAGTCGTCGACGACATTGTCGGCGCGGCTGTAGATGCGACGGACAGTCTGCTCTTACGGTAACCTTCGTAAGCAGGCAGCCCGTTTGGTTGCTCGGCGGTTCGATTCGCTCGTTCTGCCGACCGTCCGTCATAGAGCGAATCGTCTTCTGGATGGATCAGCAGCGTAGAGCTATGATGTGCGCGGCCGGAATTCCGCATATACGTCGTCGCCGACGATCGGAAGCCAGAAAAAACGGCGCCAAGGCTGAGATGAACAAGTCGAGATTTGAGTATGGGCAGGGGCCGCCGGGCATCGAGTTCATGGAGGGGATCAGGATCACGGATGAGCTCGTACTTCTCAGACCTCTCGTTGCTTGGGCACGTACTCGAGGCGAATATTGTGAGGATGGGCGAGCCTTCCAGCGGTCCAGTCCAATGTATCATATATCGATTTGTGGTTATCCGTATTCATCTCGAGATCATACGTTCTATGCGCATAATGATTCAGGGTTCTGAAGACACCGACAATAATATTTACGAATCTTCGAGACCGAGAGAGAGCACATTTATGTATCGTGTTTCAAAAGAGCCCCTTGAATAGGATCCGAAACATATCCGACGTTGGGGAAACCGTATTCGCGCTCCCACTCCTTCTGAATTGAGACTTATCCACTCGTGTAACGATATCAGCCTTTGATCTGAATGGATTCCGCTATATTCGAGCATTGAGGAATAAGCTCTTCATCGAATACATTCATCGGACAAAGTTCTAGTGGAGTAGCCGAGACTCACTCGGTCAGAGGAAGGCGAATTCGGATTCCGAATCCGCATATGCAATGATTGAGAGTCCGCGAACGTTCTTGCTAGGGCAGGGGGAGGCAGCGCTTGTCTCTGGTCTTCGATTTCTTGAGCTATTTCGCAGCTTAGCTAAAGACTAATGTGGTTTCTAAGCCTCCGGGTTTTTTGATGAACCGAGGCGCTATCCCAACTTTTCCGTGGGAACAACTTGCCCCAGGAGAGCCCCCGTCCATGAAGTCGCTCCTGCCCGGAGTCATCATCATACTCCGGCATCCTTCCCCAAGCTCTTGATTCTAAAGATCGCCATCCTCTCAACATTATCGAGACTCGAGCTTGTTGCTTTACATGATCGCGCGCTCCGAGATTTATCATACGCGGGTATGCCCAGCTCTCGCGAAGCGCTCACAGAGAATCCGAGTTTCAGAGCCGATTTTCGGAGCAGTTCCCTCTATCTGATGAGGCGGGCAAGCGTCCGGAGACATGAGCGGGTCCAGCGAGAGTCGACTCGAAGCCGGAATTCGGCAGCTTTCCCAGAATGACTCCGATGGTTGAGCCTAGCCCCGGTATATGCGGAAAACTCAGAATTATAGCTTCCACTCGAGTGTCAGCACTGATGGCGGCCACGCTGCGTCCCTTTTCGACATTCAATGAGCCTCCTTGACAGGATCGCATTATCTGGAGAAGCATAAATATGAGGTCTGCTGCTTGTCCTGCTATCGACTTCCCTTGCGTCGGAGAATTAGTAGATTCCATATCCGAGAATTCGTTCTCGTGAAATTTTTCGACTCGCTCAATCTCTAGAGCAATCATGGAGTATATCGGTGTTTCTGGTGGAATGTCAATATTGTGGCGACCCCTGCTGCAAGATAACTACAAACCAACGATGAACAGTTCAAGGGCCGTCGCTGCGCACTTTTCGCTCGTTGCCAGCTACCGGTAACTGGATTGTTGATGTTCGAAGAATCAACACAAGGTCTCATGGATCCAGTCTGACGCTCTGCAAATGGATCGAACAACTTGCGAATCCTTTTTTCGCAGCTGGTCGAATCTGGGGAAATCTATTTAAATCAGGCCCGAACCGAGCCTCACCTCCGAGGAACGGGATGGGTAAGAAGCAAGAATGCTCCGTCTCGAGAACTCAACTCTCGAACGAGGGCTGGGTTTGTCGCTCCCTGAGAAACTTTCCGTCTCGTGAGCGTCACGATAATCCAATCGATACATTCTCTAATGCCCCGGAGTACTTCGGAGCGTGATATAATATCTTCGCAAAGCATACGTGAGTTTCCTGCTCAAAGCATTGAATTGCGGCGCGTGGAATGTCGCAGACGCGGCCGAAAAGGGCTGCCCCGACCTTGAACACCAAAAGCAGAGAGGTGGAACATTTTGAAATACTCTGAGACACTGCCGTGCGATCGAATTGAAGAGAGTCTCCCTCTCAGATAGCTGCCGATGCTCGTCATAGAGGCATGAGTGCATGAATCTCCTCTCGATTGTTTCTTCCGCGTCTCTCGAGCTTCACCATTCATCTGATCATGAAGATTTCCGATCGGATTCCGGAAGGACTCAACAGCTTCGAAGTCGAATCATTTGACTGCATCCCGTGATAAAATAGCCGATAAGGTCGTTGAGCTCCATTAGGAGGGGCATGGAGGGATTCTGACCGGGGTCAGTCTCCGCCGAGGAGCAGCCGCGGTGTTTCGATCCCGGACAAATAATTCTCCGTCTTAGCATCCTGAATTATCATGGCTGCATACAATGCTACTAGCGAGGCGGGAGTAAACACACACCGTTCGCCTGCTGGCGGCTCGGCGGACTGGAAGCGCGTGCGTCTTGGGGCTACAAACACTGGATGCTTGACAGTATGCGTGGCTTGGCGTTGACCCAATTCATAGTTGAAGACGACCACAGTGATTGCAACCCTTCAGTGAAGCGCTTCCTGCAGCCGTCACTACAACGGAATATTCTTCATTGCTGCGGCGAATATATCGGCGCTGCTATCGTCGAAAACTTCTATGGATCTTCCGATACCTCAGTGCTTTCGACGTCGATCCCTGTCCGTCGCTACGGAAATCGTCCTATACGATGACGTCAGACAAGTTCTCGAATCCTTTGCTGGATAGGCAACTTGATTATGTATTCCTTAGAAATTATCCGCCTTGTGGCGGAAGGGCCAGTTCATAAATGGATGCACACAATAAAGGTTTGCTCATTCGTGGTGACTGTTGAAACGGAATCGGGAATCTGCTTTCCGGCCGGCTCGTTCCGCGAATCGCTGCGGAACGGCCCTAGTAACAGACTTTTTGCAATTTTTCCGACACCGAGTTCCGATCCTCGATCTCTAGCGGGGTCGAGATGATCGCGAAAAAAGCACCAATCACTGCAGCCGCGAAAAGATAACGCGATCGATACGATGCATTCCAGTCTTGGGACCCTCCGATATAAGACGGGACCCTCCGATCAGCACCTAAATAAGTTCAAACAATGATGACATGCTCGCCTAGGACTGTCTACTATTCTCTGAGCTTTCTGCTCTACTTTTCTAAATAAAAAGTGGCCGAGCCTCACGTGTTCCCGGATGATCGATGAGCAACATCAGTAAAACAATCATTTCTCGGCGATCGCTAAGGACCTCGCAACTTCTCGGGCGTCCCCAATCTTAGGGGTGCGGGTCGCTCGACTGCGACGACCCCATGCCCGATCGGGTACTCTCCATCCCGTGATCACACGTGAATTTCAGCTCTATATCATTTGGGAGTGGAATTTTCATCGGTCTCACACTGTTTCCGCGAAGCCGTCCGAGCTGATCGCTGTTCCTTGGTCGCGGCGCCAGAAAATCAGCCGTCTCAAAGTCATACGATCTTAACAAAATAGTCTTCCTGGAATGCCGATCGTGAAGCGAAACTGGGCCAGAAACGCCAACATGAAATACGGGTGGTCGGGAATCGTCGATATATCCGCGCCGCCCGGGTACATTCATGCATGAAACTCGCGGCCAAGCGAAGCTACGTTCCGTCCTTATCCCGTGCTTGCCCGGCAGCATACACTTCTCGCGTGGTCCATTTGCGTATGCTTTCTCGGGAGAAGATATTTTCTCTCTAGCGTTTTCCGAACGCACAAAGACTCGCGGAAAATCCAGGGCCTGGAATATACCGGGCTAGGTTTTTCTGAACATCTGTCGAAGTTTCCTGTTGACGCGAGCAGCCGCGCCAGATCATTCGCGGACAAATAACGGTTTTGTCTTTGTTGTCGTGAACAGAGTTGATGTTATTGCGGTGGCAGCAGCCGCTACTGCTCCCGGAAAAAAAGGAAGTGAGCAAGGACGTCACGTCAGCCGTCATGAAGGTTTCTTATGCAACGAGTGTTTCTATGTAGGTGTTGTCGTGAGCTTTCTCGTGACCGCCACCGCTTCCTGCCGGCGGCTCGGTCCGCCGGGAAGCTCAAATGAACGATTTCGAGAAGGCATGGAAAACTGAGATGAAAACGGGAAATGAAGAAGATGGCAGGGAGGCAGAGCAAATCTTGACCCGGGCCGAGAAAAAGGAGCCGAGGAATAGGAGTCGAGTTCTTTCCTTGGAGAGGCTCCACGCTTTTTCGGGGCGACGCGGCACTGCGCTGGCGCATGGGCCGAATGACATGGAAGAATTGAATGGAGACGATGTCACAGTTTCGAATTTACTCTTACAAATAGCTGAGGCGTCAGGACGAAATCCTCATCGAAATTCGCTCTGCCGTGCCGTCGCTAGCCTGATGCAGACTACTGTGAACCCATGGCGCGGCGGTTTCTGGAGCAGACTCAGAATTCACGTCCCGGCAACGAGGGCCCGGGACAAGGATCTCTTGCTTCACTCTCGATCGGAGAACAGACCATGCAGGGTTTGTATTGTTTATTGGATAAGATACCCCGTGTCTCGCGCTTTCGAACGGCGGAATCTCCCTCGTCAGGGCGCCCGTGCTTGAGGAGCCTTCATTCTACAGGAATAGACGGCTCTCGATTTGGTTTATCAAGGACGTGCTATCCGTCCACCAGAAGTAATTGAACGCGACGCAACAATTAGATTATCCGTCAAGTTTTTCTTTGAGCGTAAAATCGTGAGTTCGCGATCGATTTCAAGGTTGTTGACTAGGGAGGGGGGCTTTCAGAGCTAACATCTGCATTAATTTCTTCATCCTAGAAAGGTCTCTTCGTTTCCCGCCATTTTTCGACGTCTGCTGTAGGTCGAGTGCCAACCTTGACATCCTGCAAGAGGAGAGAAATCTTGATCGAACTTCCATTGGAGTCAAGAACCTACAGTGCGATTCGATGACTCGATCCTCTACCTTCGCCAGACGCTCTCCTTCTTGACTTCTTCGGGGTTCGGTGGTTCGGGATCCTTCGGACGCAGACTCTGCTGAGCATCGATCTTCGATTTGCGATCGCTGTACCAGTTGTCCAGATCGCTCTTAGCCTGCGCTCGCAAGTCCTCGATGTCCTTCTTCTCCTTCTCATCCTTGGAAGCAATGCGTTCCTGATATTCCCGTCTCCACGACGCGAGAGGGTCGCTGGCCACCTCTTCTTCCACGTTGATGATTCTGGGGGAAATGATTTCCGTGACGTGAGAGCTGAAACGGAAATTCCTCTCGAAGGAATCAATCGGAAGACGTCGAGTGGGAACGAACCGGGGATTGATGGGCGACGACGTAAAAACTCGATCTTGCTTTGGCTGAGAGAGCGAACTCGTGCTCGAGCCCTCGGAAGGGATCGCCTCGACGAGCTCGCATTTGATATCATCTTCGCCTGCGATTCCTCCATTTTCCCGGTCGTGATCGCTCTCCGAGCTAACGAAGAAGTCGTGCGCTTGGGTCGGAGCCTATGAACGAAAATCTTTGAGATCCCCGCCCTGTTCGCCGAACCGACGTCGAGTCTCCAGTATCAGAGCGTGAGCTCCGACTCATCGTAAATTGCAGCCGAAGCCCCCACATTCCAGTCCCGGAATTCCAGATTACGGAGAGAGATTTGATTTTCCCCCAATCGAAACACATGGTCGGGAGAGAAACTTCGAGTAAGATAGTGTCTAGTCCCTGGCTAACCGTGTGCTGGATATCCGTCGAACGATCTCCCCCATCGTTCGACGTGTTGATTACAGAGATGTTCATCATACTGAGACTATCCACCTGAGTAGTTTCAGTGCTGTCGGTCGTGCTGATGGATGCGATATTCGAGTGACTCGAGTCGTGAGAAGTTTCACCCTCGGTCGACTCTAGAAGCCTGGAATGACCTTCCCCGGCTGACGTACTGTGGTGCATATCTTCGAGGCAGCTCGACTTTTCCGAGACGATGGTGGGCTCGGTCAGCATGATCTGGAAACGGTAACATTCGTGAGCAGGGCTTCGATTGTGGTAGATTGTGTCACGAAGCGGAGGCAGTGACCTCTCGGATGAAATTCAGATCCGAATCGCGTGGAGGGCAAAGGGCGCCGACAGGGTCTCAAACGCTCCGGGGCAAGCTCAGGCCTCACCTCCCTCGTCGCAGCGTCTGCTAGCGAACCCTGATGATGAACCAAAGAATGATGAAGCTGAACTCACTGTGGGGATCGGAACGTTCGACGGAGCTGGTGAACCGAGCGCTCCGTCATTGGCCGAATCCATGAGCCCGTAAACCAAATTTTCCTGTTGAGCGCTCTCATTGACATCGACTGTCAGGTTGCCGCTATCGCTGTCGAGGGCAGTCTTGGGCTCGGTCCCACCGGACGATGTTGAGGACCCATTGAATTCCACTTCGCCGCCGGAATCGGGTACTGCGAGAGATTAACGCATAGGTCCGGCTTATTCTCACGAGGCGAGGCTCGGATCCTCCTGGGACATGGAATTTGTTTTCCAGCAACCTCGCTAAGATTATTATTATTATTATGGGAGACTCACCTGTATTCGCCGAAGCAGCGGAACTATCTACTGAAGCGGAGTCACGACTGATATTTGCGGTCGAGTCGACCGTGTTGTTTCCTGGCCACGGCGCCTCCTCAATCCCTATGCTATGCTCTCCTTCACTCAGAGTCTCTGTTTGAGGAAGCGTCGCGGTGAAGGGAGCACACCCCTCGTCAACTGTATGCGGATCGAAGAATTAGGAGAGAACCTCATCAGAAGGTGATCCTCGGATCAGACTTCCATGCCCTTGACTTCGGAGGTGGAAGAACTCCTGAATTCATCGTCCAAATATTCTATGACGCGTATCTAGAGAGGAACAAGGGTATCTTACCGTCGTCTAGGAGAAAAGGGTTATTCGTGATCTTCAGTGCCTGCAAAACCAGAAATCCGAATGACTGACGGCAACGAGTTTGGCAGCAATGCTCCCATCCCCTGAGCTCAGGAGGATGCTCCCAATCCCGGACGCACACGGACGCTACGCTAAGCTCATATTCGCGATTTCATTGAAACTTACCGCGGTCACGTTGAACGACGAGAAGGGATCGTCTTCGATAATTTTTGCTCCGGGACAGTCTTGGGAATCCAGCGGCGATCGATCGTTCGAGGAACATCCGAACGGATCATCCTAAAGTCCCAGGAAAACGATCTTTTTAGATGCCCCACTGATACAAATCATCCTACCCGGCTACACTCCGGACTTACGAGATTCGAATACTGATCCTGCTCGGAGCTCACCTGGATGGGGGGGAAGGCCTGTTCGACGTCTAGATTGTCGAAAGCACTCATCTTGACTTGCGTTGATTTACAGTTCTAAACGGAAGAAGTCGATTCTTTGCATTCGTGTCCGCTACCAGGAGTTCGATTCGAAGCTTCACAGCGCGACACACATGTGGTGCACGTGTCGTGCGCATCGCTTGCACACAGACATGTCCCCACGCATATGCTCTCGACGGCACCCGATTCCCCCGCTTCGACCCGACACAGCCTGCGAGAAGAACCGAAATCAAAACCCTTGGGGGCCATCTCGTTTTACGATTCTTTGCGTGGGGCTTTGCCCACATCGGAGTCATAGAATGCTCTGCCGCCGTCTTTTTGTCATGGGAGAGAATGCATATGAAAATCATAAGTTTTCCCTCGTAGTAATTCAGCAAGTTTTATCGGACGAAGCTCGCGATTGAGGATGGGAACGTCGAGCTATCGCAAACGGATCGAGTCGGCGCATTGTCGCAGGATGATTGTTCATCCGCCGAAAGGGCTCGTTCACTAATCCTATAGTCTCTGTCCGAACGCTGCGCAGCGAGGACATTCTCGCTCCCCGTACCCCTTCATGGTGATTATTCATCACATTCAGCTCGGCGCGAACCTTCTGTCGAAGCACCCCGAGATAGGTGAGTATGCCCTTTCAAACCTTTCCAGTCGTTTTGTCGACACGAATTAATCCTAAGGATCACGAAAGTCTTCAGAATATAGAGTATGACCTCACAGGGGATCCGCGACGCAAACCGAGAAGCTATGGGTGGTCGAATTGAAGAGTACGGGGAAAAGTTTCGAGAATTTAATCTACAAAACGGATACATGTGTATATCCTTCCATGACGTTCCATAGTATAATTTTTCGACGTCTCGATCGTCGAGCTCTCATTTCGCTAGTCGGAGCGAAGCCTTCGCGATGAATACTTCCTTCGCCTGGAGAGTTACACGATCTTGTACTTTTCCCGGTTCCACACAGACCATCCGCTCCCAAGCGTCATCGTCCAGGTCACTGGTTTTGGCAGAACCCTCGATCCACGGATTCCAGACGACTGGAAAATTCCGGAAAAATCAAAGCTTGTGAGAGATCGTCGTGTTCGGAAGTCTGACTTCGATGTAGCAGAAGGAGCCTCGCGGAGATCCGACGTGCTTGGGGGACCATCACTTATTCACCTGTTTCGGGGAGTCCTCTCTTCTCGACGATGATTGTCCGAGACCCATCGCTGACCTCCAACACGTCATTCGTGGAGCAATATACCCTAAGGACACGAGAAGCGGTGAGGTCAAGCGGGACACTCGTTCCCACATCGAGACCCGAATCGAGGGACTAAAAATGAGGGGAATTCCAATCGGGTAAAAATTACCGGTCGATCGCTGCATCGATTCTGACGTCGCCTTCTTGACTGCTGTTTTTCCCATGAATCTTGTCGATGTAGAACGCCTTCTCGAGTCCTTTTATGCTTGTTGAAGCGATGTCGCTCACCCGGAGGTAAGAATGAAGAAGCAGCGTGAAGTCCCAGGGCTTCGTATCGGTGTTTCTCACGTCTACCGTCATGTGCAGAGCATCGGATGCCAGCGTCACGGTGTACTTAATCTCGAATCTGGAATATCGGATGAACGCGCAGTGAGGCCTCGCATATCGGAGGGTTTGAACGACACCGTCGGAGATACGCAATGGTGCGGTGTTTTTTTGGCCCCAAACGGGGCATTCGCCCCCAGCTTCTATCCGCCATGCTCGAAATCATGGAGCATCGCATCGGAAAGACCCTCGAATCCGAGTCTCGTTGAAGCAATGGGAGCGATACAAATAATTCTACGGGAAGCATGGAGTCTGTGAGTGGAAGATTCTGAGAACACACACACTCTGCTTCTCCCATACACACTGGATGCTCCATATGTATATTGTCGATATTGACCTGGGTATGGCAACGGAGCTTACTTGAATGGCCACATGGCCAGTGTGGCTTCTGTTTCCGTCAAGCGGAGAACCGCTTCGTGAGGTTCCCGCTCGCTCAGTGACCACATCGACGTTCGCGCGAAGCCGTGCTGGGGTCCGAGAGACCATGGTCCGAAATTCGCTGCGGACAAGGCGGAAAAAGGTCACAGTTTTGGCTAAAATCGGCATTCTGGATAGCTGCCGACACCTCAGTCAGAAAAAAGCTTCAACCTCGGCCTCACTTCACAGCACACGTGAAAGACACACGTGGGTGAATTTTTTCGGCGAGTCTCGCCGCGCTTATCTGATCAGCTACTTTCCTCATATGTATATCCAGACTAGGCGAAACTCAATCAGGCGGTCAAAATCGTCGCTTGAGCAGAGGCTTGAAATAAGGGATACTCATGCCACGTAGAATGTATGCGGAAGGTACTCACGAAAAACGAAAGGAACTCCCCCTCGAATCGCCTTCTTATTGTCGAAAACCGCGGTCTTGCTGTAATGGGGTATTCACTCGATCTCAATCTTTTCCTTGTAAAGCGACGATGGACTTGAGGACAAGATAAAACGGGCTCTGGTTCCGAAATTCAAAGCGTGTGGTTAGGGTCCGTCGTTCGCTTCATGGAGTAACTCACCTCAGGAAAAGGTTTTCCGAGCGTTCGCGACCCGTTCTCCATGAGAGTATTGTGGCGCCTGCCAGCAAGAATCGCTGCTTGAATTTCGAGCTCTACCACCGGAGCCGATATTCCCCGGCCCCAAGCGCATTCGAATTCTATGATCGACACCGAGAGCCAGATCATTTCACTCGGGACTTACCGAATAGATGGATGACGGCAGTATCTTCTCCGAGTTTGAGATGCACCAAATCATTCTCGTCACACCCGAGGCTCATCTTTGATCCGATTGTTCCTTTAGGATCTTGGCAAGAGCTGTCAGACAATGCTGTCCACACCGAATGCTGAACGAGAGAACGGTGGCGAGGGTCAGCATCGGGAGAGGGCTGAGATCACTTAATGTAAACTTTCAGAAGGGAGGGAGAGATTTTCTGGCTCAAGCGTATTATATATCACCCATCGTGACATGCTAGGGCTCATAAAGGAGGGGATTTAATCGATTTAATAATTTGAGCGTTTTAATCGATGGCGGATGACGGATTTGCGATTTTGGGGAAGCCACGGCTCCCATGCGCCTAAGCGGCCCCTTGCTCGTGGATGGATCGACTGCTCACCTCGCTCCCAAGTGTCATGGTTCGAATAGTTCGCCAAGTAAGCTGATATCCTACATAGTTACTCATCGGTCGGGACGGGAGGGGAGCAAGGATTTGGATGCCGAGAGCGGGAATAAAGTTTTGATAGCAGGTGTCTAGATAGGACCAGGATGCAGTCTGGAGGACAGCTCCGATTCTCGATGATCCGACTCTCAATAAGAGAGGAGACGGAGACTCCCTACCGAGGCATCCTTGAGGATGGCATCCAGGAGGGTGACAACGATCGCGAAGAAGTCTCACCTCACCTTGCTGGCACTCTGCCGAGGAAATTACCACCAGTGCGGCAAAGAACACTGGCGCTATCGCGCAGGTAGCTCTTGACATCTCCAGACGGCGCATCAGCTGTAAGATGACATTGTGGACACAACAGAGCGCGATTACTTAGACAATCGGATGGGGGAGAAGAACGAGCGACTCTCGATCATGCTTGGTTCTCTCTCCTTCAAGCGGGTGAACTCTCGATATGGTTACGCCGGCTTCATCGGCTTCAATAGTTCGATGAAGTATCGGAACATTCATTGCAACTCGGAAAAGCTCTCCCGATTGCCTCCCTCGGCTCCACCAATTGCGACCTGGGAGCATGGACCTGGGACATACTGAAAAACTTGGATCCCAGGCCCGCGACATCTGTGTCGAACAGACAGATGTGTCGACCACAGGAACCAACGAACGCACCTTTGAAAACTCGGAATTCGAAAGAAACTCTCCATATTATGGACATCTTGCATTCATTCAAGATTTGCTCAATCAACACGGCTCTGGAATTCGCAGGAATGACCGAGTATCGAAACGACGAGAAACTCGCATATGGTACCCAGGTAGCGCGAGCTCGCGCACTTCGATGGCTGCGGGACGGTTTTGACTTACTACCTGTTCGTCGGTCAAGATTCTTGGAATTTGGAAGTCGTCCGAAATTTCTTCTGCTCGGAAGATCGCCTCTGAGGTCAGCACCCGATCCTGAATTCATCACGAGAATAACCCTGACCCAGCCTCTAGGGTTTGAGCTGTGGAAATCCAGAAATACTTCACGTTTTTTTACTTTTTTACGAATGTTCTGAGCTCGGTGTGACACATTTTGCGATTCTCAGTCCCAGGAACTCTTTTGGCGATCCCGCGGACCCTTGAGGGCTCATAACGATCCGAGTTTCAAATCCGGGGAACCGCGATCCCATTTGTGTGTTTTCCGCGCCGACACTAATTAATTCCACTATTTGTACAAGCTCAATCGCGATGACTCTGTATGATCGGGGAGCGGATGCTCCGGTGGACGGATTCCAGGATGCCGGTACCCGCTGTATCGAAGGCCGGAACTCGCATTCTTCTGCCCTGGTCGCGTCGAGCCTAATTATCAAGCCCGAACATGTGGCCGGCGTATTGTAGGAAGTTTGACTTGGCTGATGCGTGTCCCGCGCCGTAAGCTCCCGGCAGCGGCTAGAACCCGAAGGACACCACGCCCGCTACGTCATCGGCTTCACGGATAATATTCTACGATTGTTGATCGAAAGGAACAGTGACCGTCTGTGTCCGGGATCCGACGATATCTATCCTGCGGGAGTTCGACCGCGAATCGTTCAAGTCAATCTGGAGGAGCTCATATTCCCCGTTCCTCTGAAATTCCAGTACGACGGATGATCGCTCGAAAGAATCTTTCCTACGCAAGGTGTGTACCGCGAGTCGGCCTGAGGTAGGAGAGAAGCTTATCCATTGCGGTGCGGGATCTGTTGTTATGGGAGCAAGCATTGAGATCTTCCGCTGGATTATATTCCAGCCCGAAGACTTCCCAAATATTTAAAATTCTCCGAAGAGCGCCGTCGCGTCGCGAGGGCATTTGAGAGACTGGGGGCTGCTTGGAGAGACGAGAGCTTGAAAAGCTGATCTAAACTGAGCGCGTCCAACTATGGCATTTGCTGGGAACTCGTCGGCATTCTGGAAGGTGCGCTTTAATGTAGAGTAGGAACGCTTTTATCACTGCCGGTTTGAATTGAGTTTTCAGGAAGACACGTCGTTACCTTCAAGCTCAACGGGCTGTGTTGAAGTGCTCGGGAGCGTTGAGAGGAACGAGCTATGCATATGGCGGCACGTTCCCGCGCACCTCGTTGAAACCTTCCGCTCGGCTCATGCGTAAAACAGGCTAGCAAGCAAGCGAGCTACCATACGTACTCGTCTCGTAATCAGACTTGATCGTCTGTTTCCTCATGAGCTCTCGGGTACTTTGAACAGAACTCGCATCTTTCGCGCAGGTTGAGGAACCTCGCGAAATCATTGAATTTTCTCGCTCGAATCCTCACCGCGCTGCATAAAAACAAAACAGCTTTGATTATTATCTGAATCGGCGATTCTCGCGGCGAGACCGGCTCCCAATATTCCCGTGGATTTGCCGAGAAAAAAAGACTCTCGAGCCTTCATTTTTACAGATTCTTGCTTCTCTCGGGTTATTGCTTCGAATCCATTTCTGTGATGACAACTCATACTGTGGGGTAAATGGGCGTGGTGGCGATTCCACATTTGTTGCCTTTGTTCCTAGGCAGCTTGAAATAGCCTTTCTCTCCCCAGCTAGTGTTCCACGAGTTTTTGACCAACCAGTAGTCGCCGTCATCACTCGTCCCGTAGCCGACAGCCAACACAGCGTGATCCAGGCCGATCGAGCTGCACGATTCGGGGTTGTAGATGCCTTTTTGGAAGAGAATGCTTCCAGAAATGAGAGTGAGTCGACCGAGGTATCACGTTCCACATAAAGCCGGACATGACCTACAGGATTTCGAGCCTCGGATAGAGGTTCAGTGCAGGAAAGTATCGTTTCTCCGTGCGGAGCCTATTGCGTACCTGATTTGTAGTGTTGGAAGTCCTCTCCAGAAGCATCCATTCCCACGCTGATGGGTCCTACTTTAGCAACAGCCTTTTGGAGCGCACTCTCACTGTAGAAACCGGCCATCCAGAAACCAGTGATTTTTGCGGCCGCTGACTTCTTATCCGAGTGGCAAGATCCGCCGACGCCCTTGTAGGGATAAGCGGTCTCGAGTTCGAGGCCTCCGTTGAAACGGACGTACTCCATGGCAAGCATTGGCTGACCACCGTTGCAACCCTTCGGATAGCAAACGCTCCGTGTCAAGAATTTCGGGACGTACCCTTTTTTGATCGGCGGTTTTTTCATGTATTCCGATTATTCCGAGGCAGCTCTCGGTGAAGTTTTCGGTTGAGAGTAGAGTCGAATGTCAGTGCAAAACAACTCACGAAGTCGAGCCAAGAACAGTCGACCATCTGTTGCTCAGACAGAGAGAGGAGCTCGCCGTTTTTGAGGAAGTGTTGTCCTTCAATTGCACCGCTCGTCGAGAAAGCCCAGCACGAACCGCATTGACCTGAGGTTGTCGTCAGAGCTTGTAATTCCAGACTCGACTCGGAAAAAAACACGTTGATCTTGCCTCAATACAATCCGAAATGCTCCACAAGAGAGAAGGCTTCTCCATTTCCCACCTTGGTCTTTGACAGGCGACACGGCTCCTTTGTCACGCCAATCGACTGCTTCGGGAAGATCACGGTCGTCCGCCACAACTTCCCTCTGCAGTTTCCTCAGCTTCGCGATCGTTGAGGCGTTCATTCGCAAACCGAGATAGGTTTGACGGAACTCCGCGGTGCTCTGGAGAAATCGAATAAATGCGTTCGAAATTCCCGGACTTCGAATATGAGCTTCAACTATTTAAAACTTTTCCGGCCGGAGACTCCGGGCACGGAGCGATTTCACAAACTTGCTGAGTACTTTCGTGCCAAAGTGATTATTATGAAGAATTACCATGTCAGCAAATTGAGTGATGCCGAGAGTGTATCCACGTGATGCGGCTTTCTCAGCGTTGAACTTCTCGATGTGAGCGAGATTGCGTTGAAAAATTCCCTGACGCAGTGCATGTTCGTCTCCTTCGTAGGTTTTCCCGAAGTGTTCCTGGGGGAAATTTCGGAGGAAAATATCCCAGCTCATGAATGTTATGCAGGCAGGAGGCCGGGAGGGATCGAAACACGTGTTGGATAGTCAGAATTACCGATCGTCGGATTCCATCAATCGGCTCCGTGCAGCGATTGAATGAACTATTCTCACTGCGCCTACCTTGAAATGCTCAAAATTTGTGAGGTCGGCTCCGACAGCCACGACGAGAGCCAAAACGGATGCAATATAGAGACGCATTTCTATCGTGAGGACCGCTCCACCGAATGCTCCTGCAATCCATGAAAACCCAACGAGATCACCGTTCTATCTCTCGGAGAGTATCGTACCCCTCTCGGCAGCTTGTTGTAATCTCCTGTCGCTTGACCGCTTTAGTGATTAGAGGAGGGATGACAGAAACAATGAAGCAGCCTGCTCCGTAATCGAAGCATCGGAATACCAAGCTAACTTGAAAACTTCACGGCGAGAATGTGAATCCGAATGATCCATTTTCCAATCGAAAGCTGATAGCGATCGCAGCAAGATAACCCTCGTTCCTTTGGGCACCTCCGCGGTCCCCGTGAGAATTTGAAGCTGACTTGTCGAAATTACGGTGCCATCAGTCGAGAATTTATTTTGCATGGACACGACCAATATCCAGCCGGTCTGAAAATGAGCGGGCTCTTATGTAGAGTGCGAAGAGGTTGTCAAAGAGTACGGAATCCGTACGATGGCATTCTTTTTCTGGCCTGATGAGTCGATGCGGATCCTTCCGAATTCGATCAGAGGCATGAACATAATCATGCAAAATCCAGAGAAGAGAGGTTGGGCGCGCAAAGTCCTCGGGCGTTGGATCTCTAGGTCACGCTTTGGTCTGACCCCAATTAGTACAGCTTTTGCAGCTCGGTCCGGGAATTGATCCGATTCAATCGGAGAGGAATAATCTCGCAATTACAAGTTGATACGTTTTTTATGTCCGAGGAGGAACCCAACAAGATCATGACCTCTTGTCAACACGTTTCATGGCTTGATCCCTTGGGATCGGATGCTCTCACCGGCTTCAATCTTTTGCTACGAATTCTCGATCTTGTTCTCCGATTTCTCCGGGATTCCCGGTCGGATCCTCTCACTTCGGAACGGTTCATTTTTCAATGCGAATCCCAACCGCTCTGAGGACGCTTTGAGAGATCATTTCTCTCCGAAGCCAGGCGTCGATAGTTGCTAGACGACTCAATGATCATTAGTCTCGTGAGCAGATATCGTTCACAAGTCTTGGACCCGGGCAAATGTCCGATGAGATAAGGAATAATGCCCCATTCGAATGTTTAGGCATGGATGGATAATTTCCGCGACTCTGATTGCGGGGAAGGATTCCTCAATTCCGATAGCATCGATGAATTCACCTCCGCAAACACACAGCGGTATAGCGCCCGATGCCAGTCGGGCGCCTCGTTGCCGTCAGAAGGTCTTGTAAGATCGTGCAGGGTGATCTTGTAACCACCATTAGTTCCGAAGGTCCAAGTAGAATTACCTATTACGCTTGCAGCATCCGTGTCATGGTTGACATCTCGTCTCTGACTCGGGTCCTGTCCAAGCGTGATAAGAAAGAATTCGGAGAAAAAAGCACTTGTTTCGATCCACCCACAGGCGTCGTTTGAGTTCTTCTCCCCTCGGGAACTCTGGTCTCGCGTCGAGACAAGAACAGTGAGCGGAGCGGATCAGTCCAACGGCAAATCCTCGCGCTGTGATTGCGAGACGTTCCGCGGACGTCGATTAAAATGGAACCACTGCATGGCGGTCCGTGCGAGAGAGTGCAGACGCCCAGAGTGCAGCGACGCATAAATGATTCCTGTCAGAAACCCGCCTCGCTCTGAATGGTGTCGTCCCTGGGGTACCTCGTCCGATCCCGAGATTTTCGAGAGAAGCTCAGTCGGGCATCGGGGGAGAAAGATCCAGAAATCTCTTTTGCTCTGAGAACTTTGCTCACAATCGATGCCCCGTCGCAAATTGAGCATGGAGGCTCCGTTTCCGGCGGGGAATCAACGAGTGGATAACGATCAAATGAAGGTCTCTATTATCTTGCGGGGCTCGACACTTCGAATGGCTTCGGTGGCTTGGATGCGACTAGACTCATGATGGGATCGAAGGGCAGACTCGGCAGGACTCGGAGAGCAATCCTCTCGTTAATTCGCTTCCAGGACTCCTTGGAGATCGGGCGCAAAGTAGAGTCGACTGGTCATGGATATCTGCGTCCCGGCGGAAGTCCAAGCCGCCCTCCCCCGCCGCCAGTTGACGTCGATCGAGTGTGATGGCCTCCCACCGAGCACACCTATGACGTACTTCAGAATTTAAGTTCATGTGGGATAACATTGTGAGGGTCTGTTTGCGCAGCCAAACCTTCCATAGCGGCCTTCTCGGCGGATGGGTTGCGCGACTAATATTTCGCTGGAAGATCCGTTTCCATTCGTTAGATTCCGGTTCACTTTCACCCGACTTCTCAAGCCAGAGCCGCCGCTAGAAGGCCTACGATACCGGAACAGATGACGCCCACCGCACTGTCACAAGCGGTTGTTGAACCGAAACCGAATTCTGGTCACTGAATAGAAATTCCGGGTGGCAGCGTCGTCCCATCTCACACCCTAGTATTTTTCCACCGACAAATTTATTGAGATCGATCTGGACGCATTTTCGCCGGAAACGACATCTCAAATAATATATTCGACTTTTCTCTTTCCGGATTTCCCGTATTCACTGCGATGCGCTGCTCATGTCGAGTGAGCTAACCCAGAGCTTCCGGTGACGAAGTCGAAATCTCTAGGAATTATTTCATCAGCAATAATTTCGGCTTCAATCCCTGCGGGAGGTTGAAGCGAGGAAGTCCAGTGACATTGAGGATCATGAATTATTACGAAAGGAATGGGCAGGGTCAACTATTCGGAAATACGATAATTATCGATAGTTAATGATTAGGCGTAGAAAGGGATTGCACGTTGAATCGGCGACCACGGGAGATTTGATTCGAAGAAAATCCAGGGGCTTATCTTGTGACCAAGGTTTTCCATTTATTATGACATATTTCTATATACAGTAGCAGGAACACTTTCAAACACGATCTTTGGAATATGTACAGAGACGAAAGCCTCGAGTGGTTTGAGTGCAGCTCCGAGGCTTCAACGGCGGGCGGCGGCCATGACTTGTGGGCCGAGCGTATTGACGGCCTCTCCCAGTTTCCCGAGAAGGTCGTGGATCGCAGGCATGAGATCCGGATTAGCGGGTTGCTTAACTTCGTCCAGTACTCTGGCCGTCCTCGCGCTGACCTCTCCGAAGTCAGCAGCGCGTCCTTCCTGAGGATTAGATCCGTGGTAAACAGGATATTGGGGAGAAGTTGTTCCCTTCTGTTGTTCCTGACCGGCGACACGTTGTCCATGAACTTGTTGCGCTTTCGGCACTCCTACGTAAGCAGACTGGGGCTGGGGACCGAAAGCTTGTTGAGCCTGTTGGACTCGTTGGTAAACAGCCTGCTGAGCGTGTCCGAGGACTCCTGGGTAAGGACCCAAGCGATTCTGGTACGTTACGAAAGGATATCCCGCATCGTAGAGTTTCGGCGAATAGTTGAAGAAACCGAGACCGGTCGCCAGGAGAGCGGCCATCCCGCCGAGGAACACAGTGGTGCCGACCGCAGCACCGGCTCCAGCCAGGGCCTTCCCAACGGCGTACACATCAACTTTCAAGGACTTGGAAAGTTCTTTGGCGACCCGGGTCGAAGCGTCGCCGATTTCGGTGACATTGACGGCACCCATCATCGAATTGATCTGGTTGAAGCCTTTCAAGGCGGACGAGATGCTAGAAAGCGAATCCTTGAGGCCACGGCCCTCTCTCAGGACATCGCTGATAATGTCCTGGGCATCCTTCGCGAAGTCTTGTTCTTTCTGAGGGAGATTCTCCTTGACTTCCTTGTGCTCCTTGACGTCTTTCAGCTCCTTGGCATCTCTGGCAGAAGCACTCGCGGCATAAGCCACGGCCAGCACAATGAACAATCTCATGGTTGGACCTGTTTGAAACGAACTTAGCTCAACGACACGCTTATATCGAAAACGCTGTGTCTGTGAGAAGACAGACGAGAAAGAGAAGTTCATGTGGGTAGACCCCACCACCGGGCTGCTTCTACGAACCGCGGCCGGAACCGCTTCTGGAGCGCTTGCGTAATACGTGACGTAGGCGAAAGTCATAACGGAAAGTGACATCCAGTCAGCCGCGGCTCCGTATCCGCTAGATTCCGACTTTCCCGAGGAGTTGGCGGAAATTTTGAGGGCGGCCCGTGGAGGAAATACAATCTTGAAATATTTTCGGGATCATTCACTCCCTTCCTCGTTGTTCCTACCCATCGACCGGCATTTCCAGCTCCATTCTGCGGCGGCAACGATCCTGCCCAACAGCGGTTCCAGCTCGATGAGCCCGGAGGGCTCCAATTTTGAAGAAGATGTCTTACGACGTGTGCAGGTGTGCGGCGCGAACGCATGAGAGGGCTCGAGGACTCGATTCAAGGAGTCGAACGAATGAGTCAGCTTCGTATTTGCCGTTCCGCCTCCAATGACCACTCGAAGTAATGGGCTCGGCCCGTCTCCGGAAGATTTCTGCTAAAGTCTCCTCGACACGCCACACAGAAGATTCGGCTGAAACAGCTGTTCAAGTAATTTGCTGGTGTGAGGGGTCTCGAAGGTACGAGACCTCTCGGAGGACCGGAGATACGGGCTCACTCGCTCCGGAGCTTGCTGTACATCGAGGAGGAGGAAAAGTCAACTGAAGGGAAAAATCCTCTGAAGTGGGCCGGATTTTTTTGTAAAAAAATTCTGGTCCTAGTTCCTGCAAGATGAGCCCGCGCGATTAACGGATTGTTATAATAGGCACTCGATTCTTCGTGGCCAGAAGTTGATCGGGAGCCTGGTCAGAGTTCCGGGTACTTTTCGGCCTGCAAGCATTTCGGGAGGATCTATTGTTGGACATTCAGAGGTAACTTTGGGCGATCTCGTCCAATGTTCATCCACAGCGCGCAGCAGTCTCCAAAGGCTCAGGAAGACCCGGAAATCAGTGATTTGACTCTCGGGGTTCCGCGGAAAGAGATGAAGAGGAACGATCCCGAATTTTTTCGAGATTCGCCGACGTCTCATTCTTTCCGGAGTGGATTTTCAGCATCTCTGCTTCTGATGCATATGGCCCTAATCTTTCTATATGTCTCTGAGAGAGTTGACTCACACACGAGAACGGTACTTTGTCCCATCAGTGTGATTCCCGACCGATCTGCTGGCGATCTGGAGGAGAATATTCCATGAATGACCGTGCCTGATTATCTAATATCACCTGATATCTGGATCAACCGATAATTTATTGGGCTTTCCAGGACTTCGCAGGACACTCTCCGCTCTGCGGGCTCATTTTGTGGGTCATTCGCGCAGCTTCCTCGGAGAATGACGACGCGGCTGGCGACTTGCGCCACTGAAGATTTTATTACGCTGTCAGTGGATTAAGTTTGATCGATCGGAGTCCCTCCCGCCATGGAACGGAGTCTGTGGAAATTGGAACTGTCTACAGGTGTTTGCATATAATTGTACCGTACTCCCTATCGGCCTATCTTACGAGTATTGGATGTGTCAATTTAGTCCGCGTAGCATATTGACTTCCATGTCAGGTCGAGTCTCGCGCTATGGTCTGAAGCAAAATTGCTCAAATGGAGGCTCGTTGCGGGTCTTTCCCGCTCGTCCGGAGCTCAATGGATGGCCTCGTGCCCTCGGGTATCTTGGAAGGAAGGCGAGTTTGAAACAAGAATAAAAGCTTGCAAGCTATGTGGGGATACGGCGGCTGAGAAAAACTTTCGGTGTCCTATGTTTGACCCGAATGGCTCTTGATTGTTTTGAAAGCGCTGGAACTTCCCAGTCGTCACTTCGGGGAAAACCGGAATGTTTCTTGGCTTCGCCGTCAATCCTGACAGTGTTTGACTGAGAAAACCGGCGCATGGAACCGCGACGGCAAACAGACGTCAGCTGTAGCGAAGGATTCTCTTGGCTCATTGTCGCGTTTCGATCTTCAGATATCAGAAGCAAAAGCGAGAACCCGAGATCGTTTTCTTGTTTTCGAAATCGATCTTTGTTCATGTCAAATGAACATGTTGTGTCGAGCGGTCGTACTGTTGCGTTTCCGCATTACAGAGCCGGTATGTCGATCGTTGGACCCGCCGGACGGTGTGTTGGGTGTACCGGGCAAAGCGTTGGGTTTGGTTGATGAAGTTTATTGGCTCGCCGAATGAAGAAGATATCGTCCAAATGATGACACCCATCCGATCGATGTCCGCCAGCGGCGAGAATCAGTAGAAACAAAAATAGTCGCACGCAAATGACGTCGGATCGCGTGGCAGAGCTCCCTGGAGAAGTGAGTCGTCGGACGATCAGCCCGAAAACAAAAACGACGAAAACAGCCCATTTCGTGCAACGTTCCCCCATGTGGAAATGAACGTCAGCTCAAGCCGTACCGACAAATGATTAATCGTGGTTGGGGAACCATAGACGGAAATTCAGGAGAAAATCCAGCCCTGACGCCGCTCAAATGATTCCTCAAATTCCGGCATCAGAAACCCCGTCAGAATCGTCCCGTCGAACAACACAGCGCATCCAGCGCAGCCACGGAACAAATGTTCGATGGGACGCGCCTCGATCTTTGATTGATCAAAGTACTGGGGAAAAACGGAGAATGCCGTGCCCAGCTCAGTGAGCCGTCCGCCCTATGCCCGTCGCTTGCCTGCCTGCTGCCTGGCTCCCAGCCCGCGGAAGAGACACCGCCTCCAGAAGCGTCCCGTCGTCGATGCCCACCCGCGATCCGAACCCTCTCTGCTTTGGGTATAAATGCACAGCCCACATTCGAACCTCTCACCGGATCCACACGATTCACACGATAGAACCATGAAAGGTGCCGCTGCACTGCTGCTCGCACTCGCGCTCTGCTGCTGTGGGGCTCTGGCCGAGGAGCAGCCTGAAATGGAGGAGCGAGGACTACGTGATTCCATCAAACAGATCACCCAGAAGGTCACAGGAGTTCCCAGTCTGGGCAAGCTGATGCGATCCGTTAACATGACGGAGATCGCCCGTGCTTCCACGAAAGTTGCGAAGGAGCTCTCTAAATCACTCAGGATGGACGTCTTCGCGGCTGGGAAGGCTCTCGCAGCCGCTGGAGCCGCCATGGGATCCATTGTGTTTCTCGGAGGCATGGCCGGACTCCTAGCCACCGGATTAGGCATGTTCCGTTACTCGCCCGAACTCTACGAATCCAGCTACTTTTCCAATCGGATCGGACCCGTGTACCCCAGCATTCCCTATTTGTCGGACGCCCAGTCGATCATCTACCAGAAAGTACAACAGGCTCAGCAGCAATATCTAGGCGCTCAGGGAGCCCATGCGGCTCAGCGTGCCGGCGTGCCGATCCACCAAGCGAATGGACAACCGCGGCCGCAACAACCTCTCAATGGTCAACGCCCCCAGAAAGAAGAATATTACGGTGAACGTAACGGACAGGGCCGCAGTGATGAAGAAATCAAAATCAGTGCTCGGGACGCCCGGATTCTGAAAGACACCAAGAAGCCATACAGTGATGATTTGATGCCCGCCATCGCAGATCTCTTCAAAGCAATTACCAACAACGTGGAGAAAGTTGCTCCTGGCGTTGCCGAGGCTCTCAGGCGTTGAATTTACGAAAATCGCGAGAATGTGGTGTCGGCCTAAGTTATTTGTATGCTCCTAAGTCTGTGGTTCTGAATGTCTAGTCAATAAAGGCAATGTGGGATCTTAAGAAAACATGAATGATCGCTCGATGATTTTTGGCCAGAATTCTGAGGCCTGAGCTATTGAAGTGCAAGCGAATATTGAATTCTCCCGATTATTACGATGTATCAGTACTTCTGGTCTTCTTGAGCTCTCATGTTTCAACTTCGGCGCTGGCCGAGGCTACAGCGAGGTAGGAGCCGCACGGGTTTCCTGGAAGCTCGCTTCTCTGCGCATGTTTCGCCTCTGCGAGGGAACCGTCAGAGAATGTCTCTCATTCCGACAATCTCCTGACGGAGTCACCGGAAATCCGATGAATTCACGACACGGGCAGTTTTTCATCCCATACAGATCGATTGAAGAATAGTCCGGATACCGATGTAAGGTCCATGGAGAGGAGGAGTCGCGGGTACATCATCATGAAGGCAAAGCACAGAACAAGACCCCTTTGCCAACAGGCTTGGAGATCTGGACCGAGCGGAGCATCGGCTGCTGGCTGAGCGAGAAGAGGGGATCAAATTTACGGAATATTCTATTCGGAATGAACCTTTCTGGTAACTGGAAACTGATGACCGTTCGAATTGACACATTAATTTCAACTCCCTGGCGAGATGACCGTTCCAGCATGGATTTCCGCTTGCATTGGTTCGATGAAACCTTGCAGATGCCCCACGACCGGCCGAATCGCCGTTTTTTCCATGCACGACACCGGAGTTCTGCAATCTCCAAACCTGAGGAGAATCTCCGCCAATCGAATCCCGACGGAATGCACTTAATCCCCTCCAGGTCCTCGCTTGCCGTAAGTCGCCCTGGGTTAATGATTCACCCCTTCGCTCGGTGTATCGCCGACAGACGATATCTCTGAAGAATGAGCCGCCTTGACGATTTCCTCCTTTCGTCGAAAAAACGCTAGTGATAAAATCGGAAAAACGTCAATTTTTTTCCATCACGTTCCCGGTTCAGAAGACGCAGAATTCCGATACGGGCGAAACTCTGTAAAGAAGATTGAGGAGATGACTCAGACTTAGGAATGGGAGTCGGTCGCTCCCACCGCCGATCAAAGCCTATGAGATGTCGGTCTATCGGTAAGGAGGGCAACTACGTGTCCCGACCCGCTGACAGGGCTCGGCATACACTGAGACCTCTGGGGAACCAACCAACATGGGGCTCATTGAGCATCTAATGATACATCACGTGTTGGTCCTTTGACCTGCAAAGAGGCTCCCTGCCTCATTAGA